CGCCACCTCTTTCAACGTTCGATCTACTTGATCTCATCCAAACGGATGATCTAGTGCCTCAGGGGGAGGAGGAACAAGAGCCACTAGATCTTCATGAGCAGCAAGAACAGCAAGAGCAGAATGGACAGCACGATGGTCATTGCCCTGTGCGTCATTCTTCTCGGGCACAGCAGCCTCCCCGGGAATGGTGGAAAGCCCCACAACTGCAAGCTGTAATTATGGCAGGAATCCATGGACCAGTGCACATGGACTTTGGGAGCCAAGGAGGTTTTGGAATGCCAATGCACGTGATTGATGGGGTTCGAATCCCAAGATCAATTGCGGAGGCAAAGCTTTTGCCAGTATGGGAAAAATGGAATGAAACAATTCAAGTGGAAGATGGAGCTTTCAATGACAAAGAAGTCTGGGAAGAGGTTGAAAGGCCCCGTGGCAAGGAGGACCGAATTCTCAAATCCCACTACGTGTTCGACCTCAAGCTCAACCCAGACCTCACCAAACGGTTCAAGGCACGTCACGTGGTTGATGGCAACCGCCAGGCTCCTGGGACCTACGGGGAGACTTTTGCAGCCATGCCAACCCATGCAGCCTTCAGATCACAGTGTGCCATAGCTGCACACATGGACTGGCCCCTTTACCATTTGGACATCAAGAACGCGTTCTTGAATTCCAATGCAGAAGAGGAGGACCTCTACGTTGAGATGCACGAGACTTGCCAAAGGAGGGACTTGTCTCTCAAGGACCCCGTTCTCAAACTCAAGCGGGGGGTCTATGGCCTCAAACAGGCAGCCAACCTGTATCAGCGTGAGCTAAAGCGCAACATGAAAGAGGACGGCTTTCACAACTGCGAAACGGATCCCAACATGTATACACGCATCAAGAGCGACTCAGGAGAGATTGCCATCCTTCTTGTGACCATGGACGATGTGTGTGGCACGGGACAGGGACATCCACCAGAATTCGTCAGAGAGTGCATTGCATTGATTGAGAACCGATATGAATCACGCTTTCTCGGTGAAGTGCAGCTCTACGGTGGTGTGGAAGTCATCCGTGACAGACCCAACAAAAGAATCATCTTGAGGCAAACAGTCTTTGCAGAGAGGATTCTGGAGAAGTACATTACCAACACCACGCAAGCAGTGCAATTTGCTGCCGGCAATCTCAACAAGAACCAGAAGTTTGCCACTCCCATTTCTTTGAAGGATGCTCCATCACCATTGCTCCCTTCCGAAAGATTTGGGAAGCCAGACATTGCAGATCCGGACGTCATGGCATCGTTCAACTACTCTGGATGCATTGGCTCCTTGCTTTTCCTAGCTCTTTGCACTAGGCCTGACATGGGGGGTATGGGTATGGTATTGGTGACCCGGACCTGCCCCTGGCTTGGCCGCTATTACACCACCATTGGTTTGTTTAGCTGTGTCGACGACCTATCTGCCTCCTCCTTCCCTTGAATCCACAGTATGCTCCAGTCCCGGTGTTGTTTGCTGGCAGGAAAACCTTCCCACGAAGGTGAAAAACCTTCCAGAAAGAATGAGCAGTTTGGTTTCGGTTTGGGTTTTGGGACCTTCCCATCCAGCGGGTACAATGTCAGGCATGCAGCTTCATCTAGGTCCTGAAAAGTTCAGTGTTGGTTCTGGTCAAAAGGTGCTGGATTCGCCGTGTAGGCGAGCAAAGAGCCGTAGGGCTCCTGCCTCCATTCCCCGTGTGTCTTGGAGTCGCCGTGTAGGCGAGCAAAGAGCCGTAGGGCTCCTGCCTCCATTCCCCGTGTGTCTTGGAGTCGCCGTGTAGGCAAGCAAAGAGCCGTAGGACTCCTGCCTCCATCCCCGTGTGTTTTGGAGTCGCCGTGTAGGCGAGCAAAGAGCCGTAGGACTCCTGCCTCCATCCCCGTGCGCTTTGGAGTCGCCGTGCAGGCGAGCAAAGAAGCCGTAGGGCTCCTGCCTCCATCCCTGTGTTGGCCGCTTACGTGTCCAGAGACCGGAATCCACGGATATGTCGTTGTTTGCGCCGCGGCCCCTCCTTGAAGAGGCGCACCGGCGGGCAGTCAGCAGCGTTTAGAGCCAATGCGCCGCGCAGCTGCCTGCTCCATTCGCGCCCTTTCGCACCAGAAAGCGCACGCGGTTGGTCGCTTGTTGTTTGGCGGGGTGCGTCCACGCGAGCGACGCGTCCCATGTTTGACGTGCGCCGCCGTTAAGTGTCATGTTTCTGCGCCCAGAGCCAGAGAGCCACGCGGTCCTACGGCACGTTTTTCAAGCGGCACACGTGAGGCACACGCTGTCGTAGGCCCGCGGTCGCGTCTTCAGCACGCGACGCGTTGTTTGCCCACTAACAGACGCGGCGCCCCCCGGAGAAGAGCCTAGCCGCCCTGCAGGGCCAGCGCAAGCCTCTTGAGGCCAATGGGCTCCTCAAGCGCTTTTGCGGCGTTGCCTGCCACGCTTGGGGCACCGGTTTTGCAGCCGGTCCCGTCTGCGCGTCCCCGGGTGCCCAACCCGCACACCGCGCCGGCGCCGCGCTAGAGGGCAGGAGCCCTAAAGCACGACGACCCCAGACACTGCTGCTCCGCTGCTCGCGGCCCAAAGAGCGCGCGCGAGCAGCGGGGTGGGCAGGGGTGTTTGGAATTTGACTGGGCATATGCTGTCATCTACCTCAGCAGGTACCTGCAGAACTATGGAAAGGAGCACATTGCGGCTCTAAAGAGAATCCTGCGCTACTTGAGTCAGACCCGGGCATTTGGTCTCGTGTTTGATGGCAACAAACCATTGGTGCAGGAAGATTTTGCAGATGCGGATTTCGCAGGTGATCTGGACACTGCCAGATCCACCACAGGCGTTGTCGTCATGGCATGTGGAGCTCCGCTTTCCTTCAAGTCAAAACTCCAAAGCCTTGTGGCTCAATCCACTACCGAAGCAGAGTACATTGCCCTGGCACAAGCCACAAGGGATGTGATGTACTTGCGCACCCTTTTTGCGGAACTGGGTTTCCAATGCCAGGCCCGACCATCATCCACGAAAACAATGCTTCGGCACAGGACTTGGTTTACAATCCTGTTCACCATGAGCGCACCAAACACATTGCAATTCGGTACCATTTGACTCGACAACAACAGGAACTTGGAACAATCGTGGTTCAGGACATTGAATCCGGAAAACAACTTGCGGACATCATGACAAAAGCTCAGCCGAAAGTGCGCTTCATTCCATCGCGAACAGATCTGGGAGTCCTGGATACCACCATGTTCTTGCCGCAGGGGGAGCATGCACGGGGATAAACGGACTGCACCACAGAGTGTTGTGCCCGATATGCAAAACCGCGGCGCTCTGGACAAAGACAACAGCAGCAGTGGAATTGGTCGGGTTTGCCACGCTGCTTGGTGCTCAAACCTCTAAGGAGGTTGGGGGGAGGAGTTGGTCCCGCTTCGGGGGGAGTGTTGTGACGAGGTTGTTAGGCTGGCGGCAACTTAGGGAAGCGGCCCCAACTCCAATCACAACACGACGGAATTCCCCACACACAGGGGTCACGCATCCTTCCGTCCACACCGGCTAGAGGCCGGACCAGTCGTCCGTCACAACAGTCTGCAAAGAACAGAGCCAGCAAGCTGACCATCCTCTCCTGATCCTCTTCCTCCTCAGACACCATGCCCAGATCCATCCCTTTTGCACCATTGGCCTCCATGAAAGCAGTGATGTCGTTGATGAACAAGAACAGCGATGAGGTGGGTCCCCCTGCTTCACTCCGGTCAGGAACTTGATGAAGTCTGACTTGGTCCCGTCTTCATCCCGGAGCCGTCCCCACACGCGTCCGAACGCCATCTCGAACATGTCAACAACCAGTTTGGGTACTCCCATCTCCTCCAGCTTTTGCCATAACCTGGGGCGCTCCACCGTGTCAAAAGCCTTTGTGAAATCTACAAACACCGTGATCAGCTTCTCCTTGCGTGCCTTGGCCAAGGAGAAGAGTGCCTCGGCAAGGAACACTGCATGAAGGGTCGATCTCCCTGCACGGAATCCAAACTGCGAGCCTTCCAGCAGCTTGTTGCACTCAGCCCAGGGAGCTAGCCGAGCGTTCCAGACCAGGGAGAAGACCTTCTCCAGTGTCCTCTCTATGCTGATGCCTCGGTAGTTGCCAGCCACGTTCTTGGGCCCCTTCTTGTGCAGCATCACTGGATCAGGGAGGTTTGAGCAGGGTCGAGGGCTGTTCAAGAGCACTTTGGGCAGATTCCAGGTCACGTTGACTTGAGCTCGGGAAGGCACCAAGGGCGGGTACGTGTCACAGCAAGGAACTCGGCGGTGTGTGACACTTGGTGGCGGTTGGGCCGGTTTGCTGCGCATTGTCTGGTTTGGGGTGGCTCGGGGTTGCTGTCTGGTTTGGGGTGGTTCGAGGTGGTTTTGCTTCACACGGAGAGCGGAACGCACCAACTCTTTCACTGAGCTTTGGCTGAATTGCATGAACTGTGCTTTGCGGTCTGTATGGGATGCAGAGACATCCGTGGCCCGTTTTCTATCGCTCTCCATCTGTGGCCCGTTCTGCATCACTCTCCATCCAATGAAGACCCTCATTATTGCGGGTTTGTGTCCCAAACCTGAGCAAGTGTACAGGGGTGGGTAGTTGGACGGGTAAAGCACAAGCTTGCCAATCCATGACCGGTAAAGACGCTGGCATCGCCTCCCTCGGGCTAGAATGGAGATGGTTCGCGCCATCTGGTGCTGAGCTTGGCCTGGATACAACCCTACCTGAGCGTAGCATGCCCCACCCAGAATGTCTGTACCACAAACAGTAGTAGGTAGAGCACGCCCTCAGGGCAGTGGTGCAAGCATTCAAACGATGTGATGATCAAGCCTGGGCCGAGTTGAACGCGCAGGGCTGTGCAATCTGCTCTGTGAGCACATGTATCCAGTGTTTAACACCAACGGGTGCACGGCTGTGCATTGCATGCCGGCAGATTGTGATGGCCAGTCCCCTCTGGTTGAGTGCTAACGGCGTCATTATGGCGCAGCGGTTAGCGCGCGGTAGTGGTGAAATGGTCATCACTTTACGTTGTGGAAATCCCTTATCTACAATTCCGTAACATTCGCAGTTCGATTCTGCGCTACCGCAAATTTTACACACTGGAGCATGCCAGGACCCTGTCTTGCGTTTTGCTGCGCTCTATGGCCACTGGTGTGGTCCCCAAGCTGCTTTGGAGGTGGTTCTTTGCACCCATTCAGCATCCAAGCTGGGCTCCGGCGTTCATGCCCCTGCCTCTGCACCTGCACCCTCCCTAGACTTGTGGCTACGCAGATCTCTTGATCATCTTACCCTACTTGCTCACTGTCGCTGTTGTCACTGACCAGTTGAACAGCTTAGGCTTCACTCTCTGTATGTGGAAACTGCCACGCAGTACAAGCCAAGCAGCAAATGATGACCGACTAGTACAATGCCATTGCATGTGCATAACACACCGGAACAGCTCCGTCTGCAACCAGTGGCAAGTGGGGTGTCACATGTCTGGTATGGTATTGGTGACCCGGACCTGCCCCTGGCTTGGCCGCTATTACACCACCATTGGTTTGTCTAGCTATGTCGACGACCTATCTGCCTCCTCCTTCCCTTGAATCCACAGTATGCACACCGGCAAGATCGTAAACACATACACCATCCCAAGTGTGCGCACACACACAAGGCTGTTGGAGTGGCTATGGGGCGTGGTGTAGACGTAGCCCCAGTGGTCTGAACCGGGTCTGAACTCAGATGGACGGGATGGGGAGAGCGACAGTTTCACGTTGACCCGTCGTCCATTCCCTTGTGATGACAAGTCCCTAGATGACCCCTCCGGTCGTACCCAAGTATCCCCACACGCCAATAGACTCCCTATTGATACAGAATCGTAGCAACGATCCAAGTATCCCCACACGCCAATAGACTCCCTATTGATACAGAATCGTAGCATAGCAACGACCCATTCCAACAAAGGCAGGAATGGTCCAACGGTACAACAAGAGTTGTATGCGGCTGTCAGCAGTCTTCACTGGATTCTTGAAGCCCGGACCTCCCGGACATCTTGCACGGGAGGGTCTAACTACCGAGACATCAGAACAGAAAGTGTTGGGAGATGTGCATGCCTAGGCTACTACTGGATGCCACAGACGTGCGCTACTCTTTGGCCCAGTGGTCTAGTGTATTCGAACAGAAAGGACACTGAAGAAGGTCTTTTCCCTGGTCTGGAACGCTTGGCTAGCTCCCTGGGCTGAGTGCAACAAGCTGCTGGAAGGCTCTCAGTCTGGATTCCGGGCAAGGAGATCGACCCTTCATGGAGTATGGTCAGCTTGCTGGCTTTGTTCTTTGCAGACGACACCAATTTGATCTCGAAGACGGTGAAGGATGCCAAGATGCAGCTGGATCTTTTGCACTTTCTCATGGGCCGAGGAGACTGTGGAGAATCTTGTGAAGGGCAAGATCAGGGGGATCAATGCCCAAAAGCTCAAGGACAACGACAAGCTGCACTTCTGGAGGATGTGTGACATGACCTTTGGTCACATTGCACCATCGCTGATCCGGGGGAGAAGCACAGGAGGGATGTCCAAAAGTTGCTGTGCTCTACCCACGACCTGGAGGTCGAGACAGGCAGGCACCAAGGACTTGAGGTGCAGCAGAGAACGTGCAAGCATGACCCTGAGCACATTGGAGACGAACAACACTTTCTGTTTCACTGTTCAGCAAATGTGGAGCGGCGCCAGAAGCTGCAGACTAGATTGGAAGCACTAGGCCGCGAGTGGAACATGGAGACCTGGCTCTGGCCTCTTAGCATCAAGGAGTTCGAGCCCACGATCAAAGCGAGGCGGCAGAAGGAGAAGGCCCTCAACTCCATTGCCAGCTTCATCTCAAAGTCCATGAAGGACAGGAAAACTGGGAAAATGAAAAAGACACACGACAACGATGAACTTTGCAATTAGCAGCAAACTCATGGTGTAACAGCGGCCAAGCCAGGGGCAGGTCCAGGTCACCAATACTATTCTATTCTATTCTAGCCTAAGGGGTACTACCAGCTGCTTGGAAAGGCTCACGCAAGGCGCAAAGGCAACCCCGTGCCCTTTGCAGAGCTGGTGCGCCACATGGAGATGGTTGCCAGCGCCAAGTACGTGACCAAGATCGAGGATGATCCAAGGCTCACGTTTCCACCACTTCCCAAGGCCACGATCACGCCTTCTGGAGACCTGCTGCGCCCCATCACCCTCAGGGAGCTGGAGAGGGTCTTGAAGAAGGCCCCCAACGGCAAGGCAAAGGACGAGGATGGGATCCGGCTCGAGTTCGTCAAGTACTGGACTGCAGTACTGAAGCAAGCTGTTGTCAACCTCCTCAACAACGTGCTCAATGGCGTCAAGATGGATGACTGGGGCCAGACACTGCTGGTGATGCTGCACAAGAAGGGGCCCAAGAACGTGGCTGGCAACTACCAAGGCATCAGCATAGAGAGGACGCTGGAGAAGGTCTTCTCCCTGGTCTGGAACGCTCGGCTAGCTCCCTGGGCTGAGTGCAACAAGCTGCTGGAAGGCTCGCAGTTTGGATTCCGTGCACGGAGATCGACCCTTCATGCAGTGTTCCTTGCCGAGGCACTCTTCTCCTTGGCCAAGGCACGCAAGGAGAAGCTGATCACGGTGTTTGTAGATTTCACAAAGGCTTTTGACACGGTGGAGCGCCCCAGGTTATGGCAGAAGCTGGAGGAGATGGGAGTACCCAAACTGGTTGTTGACATGTTCGAGATGGCGTTCGGACGCGTGTGGGGACGGCTCCGGGATGAAGACGGGACCAAGTCAGACTTCATCAAGTTCCTGACCGGAGTGAAGCAGGGGGACCCACCTCATCGCTGTTCTTGTTCATCAACGACATCACTGCTTTCATGGAGGCCAATGGTGCAAAAGGGATGGATCTGGGCATGGTGTCTGAGGAGGAAGAGGATCAGGAGAGGATGGTCAGCTTGCTGGCTCTGTTCTTTGCAGACGACACCACTTTGATCTCGAAGACGGTGAAGGATGCCAAGATGCAGCTGGATCTTTTGTCTGCATATGCCAGTGCCAATGGGCTGGAGATCAACGTCAGCAAGACAGAGTGGATGGCCAGGAGGATACCTCACCGTGTAAAGGTCATGTACAGGGACCAGGAGCTGAAGAGGGTTGACAGCTTCAAGCTTCGTTCCAGAATTCTGGGGTATCAACTGACCTCAACCGGCCGGAGCAAGGACCATGTGCATGGCAGAGAGGCCAAGATGAACGCTGCTTATGGGCTCTGGCTCCGTGACATCAGGGAGCAGCCTGGGATGAGTCCTGACCTCCAGCTCAAGCTCTACAACACAAAGGTCAAGGCAGTGGGCCAATATGGGAACCCGTCCATTGTTGAGATGCCGAAGGAAGAGTACCTTGCCGGGGAAAGCACCAGGGACAAAGTGACATGCATGGCTCTTCGTGCCGTCACTCATCTGCCCAAGTCTACCTCCCTGGCCTGTCTGTATGCGATCACTGGCCAGTACCCCCTTGCAGTTCATGACCACGAGTCGGCACTCAAGTTCCTCATGCGCATCAAAACAGCGGATCCTGCATTGTACCTGCTCTACAAGGAGCTCAAGATCGAGGCACTGAAGGGGTCCTGGAACTGGGCTGCCTTCCTGAGGGAACTACTTGTATACTATGGCGGCGAAGATGGGAGGGAGATGTGGGAGAAGGACACTTTCTCATGGCCCAAGGAGACTGTGGAGAATCTTGTGAAGGGCAAGTTCAGGGAGATCAATGCCCAGAGGCTCAAGGACAACGACAAACTGCACTTTTGGAGGATGTGTGACATGACCTCTGGCCACATCGGACCATCCCTGATCCGGGTGGAGAAGCACCGGAGGGATGTCCAAAAGTTGCTGTGCTCTACCCACGACCTGGAGGTGGAGACAGGCAGGCACCAAGGACTTGAGGTGCAGCAGAGGATGTGCAAACATGACCCTGAGCACATTGGAGACGAACAACATCTTCTGTTCCACTGTTCAGCAAATGCAGAGCGGCGCCAGAAGCTGCAGACCAGACTGGATACACTGGGCCGCGAGTGGAACATGTTGACCTGGCTCTGGGCTCTTAGCATCAAGGAGTTCGAGCCCACGATCAAAGTGAGGCGGCAAAAGGAGAAGGCCCTCAACTCCATTGCCAGCTTCATCTCAAAGTCCATGAACGACAGAAAACGGGGAAAATGAAAGAGATGCACGACAACAAATTTCAAATAGCAGCAAACTAATGGTGTAAGAGAGGCCAAGCCAGGGGCAGGTCCGGGTCACCAATACTATTCTTGTCAAGGGAGGCAAATCAGCTACGAGAAGTTAGAGCATTGATTACCGGACCTGCCCCTGGTCTGCCACCGTTTGTGGAATCTGTTGGCACTCAATGGATTGATTTTGCATTAGGAGGAGGAATCCGCAACAAACGGCCTTTCACAGCTCTACTGTTTATGGGCGTGATTTGAATAAAAGCGGTATCTTTCTGGGGAAGAGGCCGCCTCCAGGTAGATTAGCAGCAAAAATGGGTGCACTGTCCTCTCCATCACCCAGAAACACCTGTCTCTGCGCAGGAGTGAATGTAGCCCAGTCCTCTCTCTGGGCAAGATACGGCTGCAGCAATTCCGGCCTGATGCGGCCCAAGATGCCTTCTGAGAGCACAGTCTGGAGAGAATCAGGGGTGACCACAAAGAGATTGGAGAGTTCTCGCAGCAGTGCCAGCTTTTCCGTGACAACAGGGGAGTTCCAACTTGACAGAACGTCAGAGTACTGTGCAAGATCCCTGCAAACAGAAATAATCAAATGGTGTCTCCAGGACCAGTATCTGACTGGCTCACTTTGTAAGCACAAGTGCTCCAGCAAAGCTGATTTGAAACTTTTGAAAATGGTCCAGAAAAAGCCTGACGACGAGAGGTTACCTTTCCACCAGCAGAATGCTATCTCATGATCCTACCCAAAGATTTGTAACCCCAACTCAGTCAGCCCAGGGCCCAAGCTAGTCTCTGGCAGTGCCTGAGCAAGACTCTCCTGCACTTGTCGCAGGTAGCTCACAACAAGCATGCAAGTCGAAGTGACCCTGTTGGATGCAGCA